TGTCAGATTTTAAAAGCATTTATCACTTACATTAATAAGCTTTAGTGTCTAATATCCCCAGATTTAAGCATTATTATCATTTGTTAATTTTCACTTAAGATGCTGAAATAGCTATTCTTTTGTTTGCCCTTATGAAGTTCCATGACTATGAGAATCACACAGCCTTGAGCTAATTAGGAGCCACATGAATTCTATAGTGTAACATCATTGAAACAGGAAATAGAATTGACATAATAATCTACATTTTTGCTACCAGAATTTTTGCTTTTTTCCCAAAATTCTCAATATTACTTCCAGCTGGATTTCAATGTTCATATGGGGCTTCCATTACTGCCCTAGGGAGGCTATTCTTTTAAATAATAGTTGTTACTGTTTAGCAACTTTCTCTTCTCATAGGATCCTCTTTCTTTCTCTAGATATGTCTTTGTGATAATACATATGCAACATACCCTAGGCAGGGTAAAAGTGGCGGGGGGGGGGGGAGGTCATGAGTTATTATAGGCTACTTCTAGATTAGAGTTATACTGGGACAGGGAGGAAAGGAGAAAGAGTCTGAGGCATTGGAGATGGGAGAGGGCAAGAAGCCCAAGTAGACGTGGTTCTCGGCAAACAAGCCACTTTTCCAAATGCAGGAAATTAACCACCCTGCTGACAGACTGCTGCAATTTATTTGCTTATTTATTTATTAAATTCAGGCTAGCTATCCCTCTGCCTTCCTCCTTCCAACATGACCTATGAAAAACATTCGGGACGTAAATCTCCCGGGGCTTAATTATATGACAAGCATCAAAGCCAAAGAGGACGCTCCTCTGAGCACACATTGACCAGCACGGTCAGCTTCCCTCATCTCCCTCCATTTGCTCAAATAACCAAGAATTTGAATCATAGCATCTAAGTGGTCTAGAATCTGATAAATCCTATTCCAAAGGCAATAAATGACTTGCCCAAGTCACACACTTGTTAGGGGCAGGCAGATTCTTGGGCCAACCCTCCTATTACCGCCCCACCCCATGCCTCTGGAAACTCCAATACTGCGCCACAACCCAGTGATGCTGAGCCACAAGTAATCAAAAAACAGACAAAGCAGCACTTTATCCTCAGTGACAAACAGGGAGGCAGCATTTTAGCAGAAAAAATACTGGCCTGGGCTTCTGAGACCTTAGTTGACTGTCAGTTTTGATATTAATTAGTACTCCCAAAACCTCTCTTAGCCTTAGAATGAGGTTAGGGCAAATGACCTATGAGCTTCCTTTATTATTATTTGTTGTGTCTGGTTAAAAAAAAAAAAAAGCATAACATTAAATTTACCAACATAACCATTTGTAAGCATACAGTTCCAAAGTGTTAAGTATATTCCTATTGCTGTGCTGATCTCCAGAGCTTTTTCTCTCTTGAAAAACTGAAACCCTATAGCTATTAAACAATACTCTCCATTTCCTCCTCCCTGCAGCTCCCTGACAACCACCCCCATTCTACTTTCTGTGTCTGTGAGTCTGACTACTCTAGATACCTTCACAGAAGTGAAATAATATAGTATTTGTCTTTTTGTGTCTGGTTTATTTCATTTAGCATGCTCCCAAGGCTCATCCACATTGTAACACATCAGAATGCTATTCCTTTTTAAGGCTGAATAATATTCCATTATATGTATACTAGAGGCCCGGTGCACGAAATTCGTGCACTTGGGGGTGGGGGGTGTCCCTCAGCCCAGCCTGCACCCTCTCACAGTCTGGGAGCACTCGAGGGATATCCGGACTGACAGCTTAGATCCGCTCCCCGCTGACATTCTTAGTGGCAGAGGCTCCCGCCACTGCCGCTGTGCTTGCCAGCCATGAGCCCGGCTTCTGGCTGAGCAGCTCTCCCCCTGTGAGAACCCCTGGTGGTCAGTGCACATCATCGCAACAGGTCTTTCTGCCGTTTGGTTGATTTGCATAGTAGTCTTTTATTATATAGGACTAGGGGCCCGGTGCACAAAATTCGTGCATGGGGGCGGGGAGGGGGCCGGGGAGGGGGTCCCTCGGCCTGGCCTGCACCCTCTCCAATCCAGGACCCCTCGGAGGATAACCAGCAGTCAGATACCCCTCTCACAATCCAGGACCACTGACTCCTAACCACTCATCTGCCTGCCTGTCTGACTGCCCCTAACCACTCTGCCTGCCTGCCTGATCACCTCTAACCCCTCTGCCTGCCTGCCTGATCGCCCCTAACCCCTCTGCCTGACTGCCTGATCGCCCCTAACCCCTCTGCCTGACTGCCTGATCGCCCTAAACCCCTCTGCCTGCCTGGCTGATCGCCCCTAACCCCTCTGCCTGCCTGCCTGCCTGATCGCCCCTAACCCATCTGCCTGCCTGCCTGATCGCCCCTAACCACTCTCCGTGGCCGGCCTGATCACCCCTAACTGCTCTGCCTGCCTGATCACCCCTAACCCCTCTGCCTGCCTGACCACCCCTAACTGCTCTCTCCTGACGGCCTGATCGCCCCTAACCACTCTGCCTGCCTGCCTGATCACCCCTAACCCCTCTCCCCTGCTGGCCTGATCGGCCCTAACTGCTCTGCCTGCCTGCCTGATCGCCCCTAATCGCCTCTGCCTCGGCCCTGCCACTGTGGCTTTGTCCGGAAGGACGTCCGAAAGACATCAGGTCTATCTGGTCTAATTAGTATATTACCCTTTTATTAGTATAGATACCACTTTGTATTTATCCATTCATCCACCAATGGACACTTGGGTTGCTTCCACCTCTTGGCTATTGCGAATAATGCTGCCATGAATATCTGCGTGTAAATATTTTTGATATTTTTCCTTTTAATGCAAAGAATTTAGTTGACTGTTAAAAATCCAATAGTACCTGATCGTATAAAATTGGTTTCCAGAATAAGAAATTAAACTGATCCTGTGTGTTTCCTTCTGAAGGCATTTGATACTATCTAGTACCTCATGATAAAAATACCAGCCAGTTTGATAGATTCGCAATCATTATTATCAACCAGCAGCTGGGAGCTGAGAAGGACATAAGGCCTAATTCAAATGGCTTCTATGCAGCCCCACATGGAACAAAGCAGCCAACCTCCACAGGCTTTGCACCCTAGTATTTAATGACAACATAAGAGAAAACTCTCACTGTAGGTTTTTTAAAAGATTAACATCAAGGAAGGAGAGGTAAAAGGATGGAACGTACCTTATCGTGTCGTATCATGAGTGATGTCTTAGAACCCAGGGCAGAGAGGATCCCCGCTATCTCCACGGCGATGTATCCTGCACCGACAATGACGCTGCGGCTGAAGTGAAAGCACAGGGTCGAGATTTTAAAATAAACTTGTTTTTGAATAATTTTAGGTTTACAGAAAAGTTGAAAAGCTAGTACAGAGATGTCCTGTATACTTCTGCCCAGTTTTTCTCAAAACTGATATCTTACGTAACCATGGTACAGTTGTCAAAACTAAGAAATTGACATTGGTATAATTTGAATGAATTCATTTAAATTCATTTATTGTGCTAGCAATGCAAGTTTAAGAAATGATTTTTAAATGTTTAATGCAAAACAAAAAAAATAAAGTAAAATGTTTAATGCACATTTATATAATCAAATGGCTCTGAGAGCGAGTCCAGGTTGAATTATATCATCCAACAAACAAGACGAGTCATGACCATACGTGTCACATCATTCAACCCTAAAACCAAACAGCACAGGGTGGGTCACGAGGGGAAAAAGGCTGCTCTGTAACACGTTTCCATGCTCCACAGACAGCAAGTCTAAAAAGGCTGTTTGCTTGTCTTAAAGTCAAAAGATTGCCTGGTCTGCATATCTCAACAGGGCAGCTTCACTGCAGCGTGGAACTGCAAAGAAACCCTCTGGTCCCACATTAACTGTGGCTCCAGGTGAATTAAGGTAAAGGTGTGGGCATGACTTGTTAGTCACCCCCGCCCCCCTCCGTGAAGGCCTTTATAAAAGCACAGGATTAAGACCTCAAACTGGATTGGCAGCACCCGCTCTGGGAGCAGCAGAGCTGAGCTGCTGACTCCGGAGTGGGTGTTACTTGGAAGGAGATAAAGTCCCTGCACTAAAGGGTCCCTGCTCTGGTGCCTGAGTGTTGCCTCTTTTCATGAGTGAAGGGAAGATCCCTCTAACTTAGAAAGTCTGCCACTGGGGGCTTCTGCAAATTAGAAAAATATCTTCCTCCTTATATTTTTCCTCTCTGTGTATCTGAACCCATGTCAGACATTTACTAAGGTTATTTGGGCAAACACATAGAAAGCTCGATTTCGGAAAATCTATTTTCGTGAGACTGACAGAGCCTTTGTTTGTGCACCAGGGGCTCTGAACACCAGAAGCAGGTATTTGAGACACATTAGTGATTGATGCTGTATCAAGCTGACGCCAGAAGATAGTTTCAGGGCTTTACTATCCTTCAGAACCATCATGTGCTTGACTCTGGTTCTTAAAATTCTGCAATGGACTCTGACCAAAGGCATGAAAGACCTGAGTTACTTAATGAGGGGTACGAGTGAATGAGACACCCAATGTCATAAAAAGAGAAGATAGGAGAACAGAACCAGGAAAGCCTGCGTTTAAGGCTGGGGGTGGAGGGGGAGAGTGTCAGAGGAGAGCCTGAGGGAGCGTGAACACCGAGGTCAGGAAGGACACCAGCTTACCCAGGCAATTCTTCCAGCTGAAAGAATCCATCACTGGTTATTCCCAAGCTGGCACCTAGGAAAGTGAAATATGGATCACACAGACTGAGCCTTCTCTTGGAAAATAATCACAACATCTTACACAAGAACCAATACTCTCTTAGCCATCATGCTCTCTAGTTTGACAAGTTTTTAAAAGTCCTCACTTGGGAAGCTGCCAACCAACTCTTCCCCTGGTAGACATTTTAAAAAAAAAAGATATTTTATTGATTTTTTACAGAGAAGAAGGGAGAGGGACAGAGAGGCAGAAACATCGATGAGAGAGAAACATCGATCAGCTGCCTCCTGCACACCTCCTACTGGGGATGTGCCCGCAACCAAGGTACATGCCCTTGACCGGAATCAAACCTGGGACTCTTCAGTCCACAGGCCGACGCTCTAGCCACTGAGCCAAACCGGTCAGGGCCCTGGTAGACATTTTTTCTCCTCCCTCTAGAAATAAGAGCAGTGATGACCAAATAACTATCAAATTTCTCTGTGAAACAAACATTTGCTCAGCTCTTAAGAGTAGGCTCCGCTGGCTCTGCTTCACTCTCCCACCCTCCGATCAACTCCCCCCTGGCTGTTATTCACAAGCAATTGCCTCTGGGAGACTCACCCGGGACCTGGCTCTCCTGTGGATGCGAGGGCACGCCACCTGTTGCAATCAGGATGTGAGGAGCAGTGTACTTTTCCCCACTGACCTCTACTGTGGGCCTGGGGTCACCGGTGAACGATGCGTAGCCAGTGATGATTTCTATTTGGGCCTGGAGAGGAACCGTGACATGAAAATGTTCGTAAGCTAAAACAAAAACATCTGCTTGCCCTTATCAGAGCTTTCCCTTTCTCCACTGAGGATTCTGAATTTGGGTTTGCTGAGGCCAAGACAACTCTCAATGTTCAAGTTTCTACAGAACTTCTGTTTAACTGATACTTAGGTAAGAGGATTGCCATACGATGCTGGAAATGTACAAGTAAGAAGAAATAAAGGTGCTGTTTTTTGCCAGAGACCAAAAAGAATATGCAAGTCACCCCCACAAGGAAAAAGATATTTTTGTCTCCAAAACTTGAGGGGGAAAGTCTCACTTGCAATGGAAACACCATGAAGAATGATGTTGTCGGAGGAGGAACAGAGGGCTAAGAGAGAAAAAAGGATAGAGGCAAAGGGAGCAGAGGCAAAAGAGAAATACTCAGGCCGAGGCAGGAAAATGCGATGTTTCAGGTTTTCTTAAACAAAATGGGGAGAATACCGCCAATTTACATGACAATGAAGGTCCAGGCTAGAGATGCTGAGAACGCAAACCCCCACTTGCTCATACTGTGCCAGGGCCTCCATTTGGGGATTGGAGATTGCCAGCAAGCTTCTGCCAGCTATGATGCATGTATTGGCATGCAAACGTGGGCAGCTTACAAGGATAATGGCATTATGCAAACAGGATTACAGAACAGAATGTTGGAACATTTTAGAACATGCTTGGTTCTGATTGAGTGATTGCCTCTTTTGCAATCACCCCCCAGGCCTGCTCTGCACGTGCCCTGCTTAATCAGGATGAATCAAGATCAATGCCAAAAGCCACAAGCCTCCACAAAATCCTTCCTACAGGAGGTAATAATTTCTTAGGGGGTGCTAGCCAAAAAGGGGTATGCATCAAGTGGCAATAACCTAGACCAGTGATGGCGAACCTATGACACGCGTGTCAGAGGTGACACGCGAACTCATTTTTTTGGTTGATTTTTCTTTGTTAAATGGCATTTAAATATATAAAACAAATATCAAAAATATAAGTCTTTGTTTTACTCTGGTTGCAAATATCAAAAAATTTCTATATGTGACACGACACCAGAGTTAAGTTAGGGTTTTTCAAAATGCTGACACGCCGAGCTCAAAAGGTTCGCCATCACTGATCTAGACAATAGTTTGGAGGAAGAACTGATGAGATTTTTACTTTCATTTCCTAGGGTATTTGACAGAAAGTTTCCTTTCCTATTCAGAATTCCTTCCCCATAACGTCAGGGTAAGTTATACAGCACACCAAGATTTGTGAGTATTAAAAAATGCTGTTTCTTGAGTGATTTTTCTATCACTTTTGCACTTTAGCTAGCTCCACTTTTTAATAAAATCTGATGTGGGTGTTTAGTATAACAACTGTTATCTCAACTCATGTCTAATAGACTTAAAATGTCTTGTCATCAGTGCCTAGGGGACTGAAGGCCCCAAATATTTTCCCCTTGAATTGGGGATTAAGGTCAGAAAATATCATCATCCAAAAAGAAACCCAATGAATGATATGAATCAATATAAAAATGTCTGAGGTTAGCCATCTGTAGAAGTAACTCACACTAAAATTGGCTTATCAACAATCTGCTAATGAGATTACAGTGACCTGAATATCATCAAGAATCTTCTGATCTAGCCTGGCCCGTGTGGCTCAGCAGTTGAGCGTTGACCCAAGAACCAAGAGGTTTGGGGTCAGGGCACATGCCTTTGTTGTGGGCTCAATCCATCAGTAGGGGGTGTGCAGGAGGCAGGTGATGTTCCTCTCTCATTGATGTTTCTATCTCTCTATCTTTCTCCCTTCCTCTCGATCTAAAAATCAATAAAAAACATATTTTTTTAAAAAGAATCCTCTGATCTAAATATAACCTCAGTTACATTCAAATCTTAGAAACTGCAAAGTGAGAGCAAAAAGGCAAATGAAGGGTGATGAGATATATGCCGTCAAGAAAGAGTCGATGATGCAAAATTTGTCAATGTCCCTGGCATAGTCCCAGTGGGAGAGGTATGATATCTAAGCACTAAGACGGGAAAAGCCTCAGGATAGCCAAGGACAACAGGTCTTTGCCCAATTTCCTTGAAGAGATTTCATTCACAGAAAAAGAAACCTTCTGAACCATACCTTGGACTACTGAGTAGATTTAGCCACCAAGGATGAGGATGCACGTTTCCATCCACATCATGCTCCTGATTTTAATTAATAAACTGGCATATTCAGTCTCTTATGGGCTTGGCTTTTGGAACAAACTGGAGAGCCAGGTCTACTCGAGATACAGCCATCAGGTGAGACCTGGTCTCCCAACTTTGACACACCTCTCTGTAGAAAAGAGACTGGCCTACCCAGTGAGAGGCTTTCCCTGACAGGTCAACCTCAGAATCGTTAATCATAAGAGAAGTAGCAGAAACAATGAGAGAGACGGGCAATGGCTATGCTTTAGTCTGGCCGGACCTGTTAGCATACTCAAGCAACAAACAGCAACTTCTCAAAGTTGCCAGCCCGGCATACTCACCTTGGTTAGATTATTTTGATAGATGGTGTTCAGGCGGCTCACATAGGCATCCCGTTTTTCCTTTATCACCCTGCAGTGAAACCTGAGTCAGTGCTGAGAAAGAGGATTCTCCTCCTTCAGTTAGTAAGTAGGGCATCTGTCCCTGAATCACACACCCTCAGCACAAACCCCATGAGTCAATGTCTCTAAAGACAGCCACCCCTCCCCGTGTCCATCTGCTGTCCCATATGTGGAGAACCCCTATTCTACTCCGTGGAGAATGTTCAGTTGGCATCCACGGTATATAGATAACATTTTTCTTTGCACAGAAGACAAAGATAGCTACTTTGGCACAGTACCTAGCATGGTAGCAATAAGAGCTTATTGGAACTAAACGGTCGACTGCATCTAAGGGAATAAATAATCTTCAAATCACACTTGCCACTCAATATCTGTTAAATGAATGAATTTGCTAAAAATTTTTAAAAATTCGATGGCTTCAAAAAGTTTATGGCAGTTCCTTAAAAAAATTTAAACACAAAATTGCCACATGACCCAGCAATTCCACTTCTAGGTATCGACCCAAAATAACTGAAGGCACGAACTTGTAGACCAATGTTCATAGCATGATTATTCACAATAGACAAAAGGTAGAAAACCCAAAAGCCCATTGAAAAATGAACGGAGAAACAAAATATGGTATATAAAGATAAAATAATATCATTCAGCCTTTAAAAGGATTGAAATTCTGACACAGGCACAAGGATAAACTTTGAAAACATCATACTAAATAAAATAAGCCAGGCATAAAGGACAAATATTGTACAAAGTACCTAGAACAGGGGTGGGCAACCCCTGGCACATGTGCCAAACATGGCACGCCAGTAACTTTTGCTAGCACTCGAAACCCTCTCTTATAATCTTCCATTTACAATTTTTTTCTTAATATCGACTTTTTTATTTTTCAGATAAATTCAGTGTAGGTGCATCTTAGATAAATAAATAATTTTACATAACATGTATACATTAAAAAATAAATGTATTTTTCATCATCATATACTGTGTTTTTGTCGCTCGGATGAATTTTATTATTTCTTCAAGGTTCTTCACATACGTACATCTTAAGAGATATCAAGTAGGCATAACATGTTCTCAAAAAATTAGGGTTGGCACGCAGAATTCTGAGTCAGAGATTTTGCTGGTTTTGGCACGCACTCACAAAAAGGTTGCCCACCCCTGACCTGGAATATGCAAAGTAGAAAGTAGAACAGAGATACCAGGGGCTGGGAGGAAGGGAGATGAGGTATTGTTTATTTGTTTTTTATTTTTTTAAAATACATTTTATTTATTTTTTTAGAGAGAAGGGAGAGAAATAGAGAGTTAGAAACACCAATCAGCTGCCTCCTGCACACCCCCTACTGGGGATGTGCCCGCAACCAAGGTACATGCCCTTGACCAGAATCGAACCTGGGACCCTTCACTCCGCAGGCCGACACTCTATCCACTGAGCCAAACCGGTCAGGGCAGATGAGGTACTGTTTAATGGGTACACTGAACAACACTGTTTCTGCTTGGGATGATGGAAAAGTTCTGGAAATGGATAGTGATAATGGTTGCACAACACTATGAATATGCTTAATGCTACTGAATTGACAACTTAACTCACTGTACGCCACAAGCATCTGTAGACGCAAGCGGCAGACCTTCCCCACACGCCATGTGCATCTATAAAAAAAAAAAGTTTTTGCCAAAACCGGTTTGGCTCAGTGGATAGAGCGTTGGCCTGCGGACTGAGGGGTCCCAGGTTCGATTCCGGTCAAGGGCATGTACCTGGGTTGCAGGCACATCCCCAGTAGGGGGTGTGCAGGAGGCAGCTGATCGATGTTTCTCTCTCATCGATGTTTCTAGCTCTCTATCTCTCTCCCTTCCTCTCTGTGAAAAATCAATAAAATATATTTAAAAAAAAAAAAAAGTTTTCCCTAAGTGGCAGCCCTGACCAACTTTAAAATCATTTTTCGTGAGAATTTTTCAGCTGAAAATATTCAAGAACACCTGCACTGTGAGTAATATATTAATTTTTATAATATTCATTGCAAATTGATTTTTTACATTAAATTCAAAATATCGTGGCGTGTGGGGATGGTTTCCGTTTTAGACATGTGGCAATTAATTGGTTAAAAATGGCTAAAACAGACATTTGATGTTGTGTGTCTGTATATGCACATATTTAATGTATACAGCTTGATGAATATAGAGATAAGTACACACCCGTGAAACCCTCACCACAATCAAAGCCATAAATATCTCCATTACCTCCAAAAGCTTGTAATATATATTTTACCACAATAGAGCCCCCCGAAAAAGTTTGTGGAACATTTAATTCTGAAAGAAAAATACTTATATTTGTAAAAAGAACCCTCTGAGAATGAACACTTACCGCCAATTGAATTTACCATTACAGCTCTGAAATCCGTAATCAACATGATCATGCATGAATTCAGAGTGCACAGCCGTGTTCCACATTATCTGCAAAAAAAGTACCCAAAACAGTAGTACATGAGTCCTGAGGGAAGACAGAAATCTCGAATGAAAGGTAACTTTGTAACAGCAGATGATAATAATACTGACCTTTAAATTAAAAGTAAAACTGTATTTTAAAAGAAAAAGTTCAGAAATATGACCAGATTTTATAGGGAAGCTTCTGAAATATTGGGGGAAATTACTTCTAGAGTTAAATTCCCTAGTTTATAAACTCTGAGAAGCAGGATATTATAAGGCTCAGGGTCCTTCCATTAACATTTATTATTGCTTAAATTCTCTTTTGTAGATATACTTTTTTGTATATATCACTCTTTTTTTTCTTAATTGATTTCAGAGAGGAAGGGAGAGGGAGAGATAGAAACATCAATGGTGATAGAGCATCATTGCTTGGCTGCCTCCTGCACACTCCACACTGGGGATCGAGCCCGCAACCCAGGTATGTGCCCTGACCAGGAATTGAACTGTGACCTCCTGGTTCATAGGTTGACACTCAATCACTGAGTCATGCCAGCCGGGCTTACCATCTCTTTTTAAGCTTCAGATTTCTTTAAGCCCTGACTTTTGTGATTAGTTCCAGGAAATGGAATTGCATCTGTAACTTTACAGTACAGTGATTTGGAAGGAAACTATTAGGTAAAGATGAAGACTGAAAACTTTAAGAGAATGCATTCCTGTTATGTTTTCGGTAACTATAAACATGCCCTTGTAAGAACGTATGTGATCAGACACCTGGAACTCAAAGGTTCAATGCATCTCTTGCGGAATGTAGCCTACAAACTGTAGAAGCCTTTTAAATGCCAACTGATCCTCGTGATAACTGAATTCAAATTGGCATCCGGAACTCTTGAGGACAGCCAAACTACCATTTTTCCTGGCCAGACAAGTCTTAGTTCCACTTTTGATAAGCCTTAAGATTCCTTGTTTGCACCTTTCTCCCTTTATGCCTAAAGATGAATGAATTGATGACTACTGGATTCTGTTTCCTTTACTGAAGTGAAATTCATGTAATATAGAATGCACCATTTTATCTGCTAGATTATTTTTTTAATGTTTTTATTGTTTTGTTTTTAGAGAGAGAGGAAAGGGAGGGGGGGAGAAAGAGAGAGAGAGAGAAACATCAATTAGTTGCTTCCCATATGCAACCCGACCGTGGATCAAATCCATAACCTAGGTATGTGCCCTGAATGGGAACTGAACCAGAGACCTTTCGGTGCACAGGGTGACACTCAACCAACTGAGCCACACTGGCCAGGGCTATCTGCTAGAGTCTTTATCTTAAACAATGCATATGAAAAATTTATCAATACCACAAATAAATTAATGTTATTTTAAGACACATCACTAAACCTCATATTATCCTGAGGTTTAGTGATATATACAAAAAATAATCTAGCAGATATTTATTTACTTCCAGTTTATAGTTTGCACGGTGTTATAGCATCTAACCCTCTGGAGAGGGTGCCTCTGTCTGAACTGCATTTGAGCTCGGCGTGTCAGCATTTTGAAAAACCCTAACTTAACTCTGGTGCCGTGTCACATATAGAAATTTTTTGATATTTGCAACCATAGTAAAACAAAGATTTATATTTTTGATATTTATTTTATATATTTAAATGCCATTTAACAAAGAAAAATCAACCCAAAAAATGAGTGCGCGTGTCACCTCTGACACGCGTGTCATAGGTTCGCCATCACTGTTTTAGACTGAGACCTGATCGGGGCAGCAGCAGGCCCATCCATCCAGTTCCTTCTCTGCTGCTGCTTCGCTCTACCCTGTGCAGAGGGGCAGTTACTCTAGGCGCCAGCCTGCTCTACAGAACAAGAGGTAACTACCCACTGATCTTCAAGAATGCGAAAGCATTTTGAAATCAGTAGACCCCTACAAAAATATAAGGTCACTATCTGGTACATGTGATCAGAATAGAAGGGTAAGTGAAATATATGGGAATAAAATATTACAAATTCAGTCCACTATGCAGTATCAGTCCAGACGGTATTTTAAAATAATGAGGTAGCACCAATCAATAGCAGATTTACTACCATAATTGGTTTAAACTACATATAACTAATTTACATAATCCATATATCCATAATTGCATGATTCCAAGTAGAACAGATTCCAAAATCTAAGACAAAAAGGAAAGAACATTTTTGAGGAAAAATGTCCCACAGAAAACAAGAAATTTTCCTAAGACAGAAAAAAAAACCCCTCCCTATACTAGAAAACATATTACAGAAAACCTTTCTGGAATAAAACTCAGGCTTGTGTCACTGACGAGATTAGGGTATTTGCTAATTTAACATGTAATCTCAGCCCTGGTTGATATGGCTCAATTGGTTGGGTATCATCCCATGCACCAAAGAGGTCGAAGGTTGGATTCCTGGTCAGGGCACATGCCCGGGTTGTGGGCTGGATCCCCAGTAGGGGCTGTGCAGGAGGCAGCCAATCCATCGATGTATGTTTCTCTTTCTCTCTCCCTCTCCCTTCCTCTCTCTCTAAAAATCAACAACAAAATTTAAAAAAAAAAATAATAATAAATAAAATGTAATCTCAGTAACAAAATGTTGTAAGCTTAGGATTATAACATGTTTTAAAATTGCATTCAAATGTGGAATAAAATAATTAGCAAGTATAAGCAAGAGTCAGCTTTGGAAATCAGAGCTGTCATTTTTTCCTTTGTCACAGGTAAGGATGAGTTCATTCAAGGTAACCTGCACTATAGCTACTAGCACCAACGATCACTACAGTGGTAAAGAGAATCCATGAGGCTACAGAATGGAAAACTTAAGAAACTTTCACTCAAGAATTTGGTTTGCCAGCTGGGTCTCCATATTGAGAAAAAGCTAACCTGTCCTAATTATTAAACCCAGATATAATCTCACTCACACTAAACTGATAAATCAATATTATCATTTTATAAAACCATTTCTTTTGATGTCAGATAATCAATTCACTCCTGAGTAAATCAATATACTTGAATTTCTGGAATAGCAAAGACGGGGCTAGGACCCAAGTACACAGTAACTCCATCAATAGACTACTTACCATAAAGGTAACCAAATACTAAGAAATGCCATTGCCCTGGCCGGTGGGCTCAGTGTTCAGAGCTTTGGCCCACATACCAGAAGGGTTTTGGGTCTGATCACTGGCCCTGGTTGGGGCATATGTGGGAGGCAACCAATTGATGTGTCTCTCTCACATTGATGTTTGTCTCTCTCTCTCTCTCTCCTCCCCCCCACCTCCTTTCCATTCTCTCTCAGAAAAGCAATGGAAAAAATATCCTCGGGTGAGGATTAACAAAAAATAAAAACAAGTAAAAAAGAAGTGCCATCATGCCAAACCGGTTTGGCTCTTAGAGTTGACATAAGATACCCAAAGTCACATGATTCATGATTTTAATATGAGCGATGTATAGAGAAATCGATTTCATCCCCAGTGGGGAGTGTGCAGGAGGCAGCTGGTCGATGTTTCTCTCTCATCGATGTTTCTAACTCTCTATCCCTCTCCCTTCCTCTCTGTAAAAAAATCAATAAAATATATAAAAAAAAAAAAAAAAAAAAGAAGTGCCATCAAGTAACTTGAGAAATCAATCTTAGAGTTGACATAAGATACCCAAAGTCACATGATTCATGATTTTAATATGAGCGATGTATAGAGAAATCGATTTCTGTGCTTAAAAACAAAAACTCGCACCAACAAAATGAAACAAACAAAAATACCTGACAATCTTGACATGTCTTTCCAGGAGAAAAACTTCTATTTTCCCTGGGACAAAACTAATTCAGAGATGCACCGGGGCAGGTGAAAGACCAGACGGCTTGAGGCAAACACCCCACCTCTGCACCGTCACCCCATGATTCCAGGCAGTTAACTAGAGCCATGTGTGGGAGGAGCACCCACCCACCACCATCGGCCACTTGGTCTTGGTCAGATCAGCACTTGGGCTGAGAGTTGGATATAAACTTTTTATTTCCTGGCTGGATCTCCCTAAGAAAAAGTTATCTTGTGCAGATGAATACTGCGTTTCTTTTATGCCATGATTATGTATGTTTTGTTGGTCACTGTTCCTTATGAAGTTTGATAGTAGACACTGTGTTCCATTCCTGGTTACCTCCCCCCTGTGCCCCCACAGGAATTTTTTTACTTTGTCACCCTGTGGTGAACTCTTACTACATGGCAAGGTCCAGGATGAATTTCGTTTGCATGCAAGATGCAGTTAGTGTCCAGGAACTCATTGTTTCTGTGGTTATCTGCCCAGGAGCACCTCCCTCCCCCAGGCTCCCCTGCAGGGATAGCTCAACCCTGGCCAAGACAACGGAAAGCAATCTGCAGAGACAGTGCTGGGTGGGACACAGTCCGAGAGCCATCATGTGGCCATGAGGCAGGGTGGTTACTGTTGCTTGTACGCCCAGGATATCAGAATGGAAAGATGGAAAGAAGCCAGGGTGCTTTCAGATTTCCTTAAGTACTAAGCCAATCTCAGAAAGTGCCTCTCTCTGGGCTTCTTGTTTTTCCCCCAGGTTTCTTAGTAAGTGATATTAAAAAACAAAACAAACACTAGCCTATTGTTTAAGCCACTATTAGTTGGTTTCTCAGTCATTTTTTGCAGAAAGAATTTTCACTGAAACATTTGGAAATAACCTAATCCTGATCATGATTTACCAAACATGTAAAAGGAGGGTGGAAGGGATAAGAAATAAAAATTCTACCTTTTTGGGGAGGGTGGGAAGAAGGGGTAAGAGATCAACCAAAGGATTTGTATGCATGCATTTAAGCATAACCAATGGACACAGACAGGAGGGGGGTGAGGGCATGTACTGGGGGGTGGGAGCGGGCAGGGAGAGGTCAATGGGGGAAAACGAAGACATATGTAATACTTTCAACAATAAAGAATTTTTTAAAAATTTTTACCTTTTTGGGGACACATCCGACATTCACCTAGGAAAAAAAATTAAAAGGACATATTTTAATAATATTAAACTCAATATAAAACAAACCTGCAAGAAATGAACCCCAAGCATTAGCCTAGGAGACTTACTTGAGTTCGAAGTCTTAACCTACAATTATTTAATTTTTTCCAGTATAGAGCATATGAACATTACTTTTCTTATGTCATGAGGGAGAGAATTGTACTCATCAGCATTTTTTCAAGAAAAGCAGAAGGGGGCGGAGGGGAACAATTCCATTTGCAGGCGCCACGCACTCAGCGACAGTACAGGTCAGGAGATGGCAGGAGCCTGGGCTTGCGCAGAACCCAGGGGGAAGCAGAAGAGAAATAGGTCGGAAGTGAGAGGACCTACCAGCTGAATAATCTCCGCAGCTGTCCTAGAGGATTTCTGGGCCCCTGGAGTATCATGGGTAAAACACCCAGAATTTCCCCTTTGAGAAAACCTCTGGTGGAAATCTACATTATTTTTCAGGACCAAAGGATGATAATCAAGCATTAAGGGTCATCTATGCTATTAAGTCTTACAGACTTACTAGAAACAGATCATAAATTTGATTCTCAGAATTCTAGCAGCCAACACACAAGGAAAAGCACAAATGCGTGTAAGATTTCTTGTAAAAAAACAAAACAAAAAACGGATTAAGAAAATAGCTATTCATGTCCATTAGACGGGAGATAAGTTACTCCCAAGGGTTCTTGTAAACAAGCTGTGATATATGCTTACACACAAACTTTTGTTTATATCTGTGTACTTCCTTTTGATCACATCCTAAAAGTAATAACTTTTTTTTTAACCTGGGTTAAGAACAAGATTGATTAAAACTGCCTTGAAAGCCATTTTGTTTTTCAGGATTGTCTGCAAAAGGGTACTTGATGGAAAGTCCCAACAAATCAGCCTACATGAATACAATCGACTGTGCAAACTGTTTCTCAGGCTTCTTCAAAACCCCCCCTCTCCTGCCAGCCTCTCCAGCAGAGTGGCACTAGGATCAAGAAAGGCCTTTGTTAGGTATAAACTTCCAGTTATGAGCTAAGTAAGTCCTGGGGATGTGTGTACAGCATGGTGACTCTACTAAAAAATACAATATTGTGTATTTGGAATTGCTAAGAGTATAGACCAGTGATGGGGAACCTTTTGAGCTCGGCGTGTCAGCATTTTGAAAAACTCTAACTTAACTCTGGTGCCTTGTCACATATAGAAATTTTTTTATATTTGCAACCATAGTAAAACAAAGACTTATTTTTGATATTTATTTTATATATTTAAATGCCATTTAACAAAGAAAAATCAACCAAAAAAATGAGTTCACGTGTCACCTCTGACACGCGTGTCATAGGTTCGCCATCACTGGTATAGACAGTGAAGTTCTCATCACAAGAAAAAAAATTTTGTGACTGCATATGGTGATGGATGTTAACTAGCCTTGTGATTATTTTGCAATATACCGAATCATTATGTTGTACACCTGAAACTAATATAAGGCTATATGACAATTATAGCTCAATTAAAAAAAAAACAAAACAAAACCCTGATCAGGTAGCACAACTGGTAGAGCATTGTCCCAATATGCCAAGGTGGCAGGTTTGATCCCTGGTCAGGGCACATAACAAGAATCAACCAGTGGGGGGGTGGAGGGGTGGGGTTGGGGAGAATCAACTAGTGAATGCATAAATAAGTGGAACAACAAATCGATGTTTCTCTCTCTCTCATCTTTTCTCTAAAATCAATAAATAAATTTTCAAAAATTAAAAAAAAAAATTTAAAAAAGCGGTTTTTGTCCTGGTAATCAACTCTTACCACCTAAGGCTATTTGGGGAGCACTGCACACCTATCCCATGTGAACCTGGCTACTCTTTATTGCAGACTCAGTACATTCAACAAGAATACCTGGACATGCTCCCACAGGCCCCAGGGCAAAGGGTGACAGTACATCATAAAGAACTCTTCCTCAAGCGGACTCCTCCCACGTCTGTGTAGGCGGAGAACTGAACCGCAAAGACAAAGCTCGCAGAAGGCTCTAATTCACCTTGACTTCGGGCACTCCTTGCACTTCTCCACGGTACACTTTGATCATGAGAAAAGCATTACATTGAGCTTTTGGGAGACTCCAAAAACTGAATTCAAATATCGTCTCATGTATTTTTCTGCCTTCAGAAATGACTTAATTAATCACAGTGGGCAACAAGAGATTATTTATCTGTAATTGAATTCTAAGGAAAAAAATTGATGATTTCTTTCAGTTTCCTACTTTTTACATCTAACCTAACACTCTACTACAACTTTTTTTTTTGCCTGATCCAGAAAAATAAAGATTAATTTAAGAGCGAAATCATGTTATTAGAAATACCCATGTCTTGTTGACCTAGCAGTGGTCGGCAAACTCATTAGTCAACAGAGCCAAATATCAACAGTACAACGACTGAAATTTCTTTTGAGAGCCAAATTTTTTAAACTTAAACTATATAGGTAGGTACATTGTTATTAACTTAATTAGGGTACTCCTAAGGCTTAGGAAGAGCCACACTCAAGGGGCCAAAGAGCCGCATGTGGCTCGCGAGCCGCAGTTTGCCGATCACTGATAGTGTATCCAGTAGAAGTTTAGCAGCAGTTCTGGCCCGTGTGAACTAAAGGGAATCAGAATACGCCACCCCAAAATATGCCACTTTGGAATAAGGATTATTTTGAGCTGAAGACAAGAAACAGTCAACAAGAAGGAACTCTTTGCCCTCTTCCTTTCTGCTTAAAATCAGGGCATAGATTTCCCTGTGTAATGGTGCCCCCCACTCCTCTCCTGAACCAGAAAGAGAACAACCCTTATCAGTGGAGATGAAAGGATAGCACTGAGATGAATCTGCACTAAAAAACATTAATAAAGGAACCCTTATCTTCCATTGGTTTCCCCCATACATTTGTCTTCCCATAATTTACCCCCCTCAGAAGCCCCAATCCCCCCTTTCCTTTGTCTAGTCTCTTCTCCACAACTTATTACCCTCTGTTAAGTTGGTATTAAGCTCAGAGGCCTAACTACTTCCTTGGTTCTCCCCACTTCTTTTCTATAATGCTCAAAGGGCATATGAAATAGACCTTTTCTCCTGTTCATCTATTATCAGTTTAATTTGTAGGTCCCAGTTACTGAACCTAAGAGGGTAGAGGAAAATATTTTCCCTCCCCTACAGAACACAACATGGGACAGTCATTTCATATCTGAGCTTCTTAACAGCTTAAAGTAATAAATTCTATCAAAGAACAGTGAACTCTTCCCATACACCAACACATCAGTCATCTTGAAAATACAGGTGTCTTACTGGATATATGGAGGGGAGGAGGATGGGACACTTTATAAAGTATACGATTGTCTAACGACTATGCTGCACACCTAAAACTAACACAAAATAATATTAAATGTGAATTGTAATTGAAAAATTTTAAAAAATTCACAAAACAAAAATTAAATTTAAAAGTTGAGCTTATAGTAAAAAAAAGAAAGAAAATATAGGTCTCCTTCCTGAAAGGTTCTACTCTACTCCATCATATTACAGAAAGAACAAAAGGCCTCTGGCAGAGGAAGACTGAAGAGGAGCCAGAAAATCTCATCACATAGACACCCTGGAAAGCATCTAAGCTGGTTTCTTTGGAAGCATGAAATTAGGAAACTATGCAATGAATGACTCCAGGACCAAATTCATTATCATCTGACTCCCATAATTATAAAGGATCCACCAGATTCATTCTTTAAAAAAAAAAAAGTTTTTGTTATTTTAGAGAGAGAGAAAGGGTGAGGGGGAGAGAGAGAAACATCGATGAGAGGGAGAAATATCCAGCAGCAGCCTCCTGCACACCCATTGGCTTCCCTCCAGACCTACTAAATCAGGAACTCTGGGGTAGAGACCCATACGGTAGACCTTTAATCAAGTGTTTTCCGAGTAAATGATGTCTGGTTCCTAAGAAGTAAGAGTAAGAAATTTCCTCCTCTGTAATTGAGAACAATGCTTGAAAATGTTCATCAAGTCATAATGACACCAACAAATTACACCAAAGCCATGGTTTCTGGTGGCTGGGCTGCCAGTTCCACAGGTTATGCTCTGCGTGGTTTCTTTCCAACAGTATCTTAACTGACGCTCAATTTGCTTGTCGGGAAAGTGAGGTCCTGGACTAAATGCCTGTAAGAATCTGTGCGAGTCCAATCTTAACGACATGAAAACAACAGGGCCCATGTAATGTTTCATAAAGCTAAAAAAGTATTCAATTGAAAGGGCTATCCTTTCCTTGAAATTATAAGCTTGATTCCCGGTGGGGGACGTGCAGGAGACAGCCAGATTGATGTTTCTCTCTCTCCCCCTCTCTCTAAAATAAATAAGTAAAAATATATATTTTAAAAAAACTTTCTTGATAAAAATGATAGTGATAGGCCCTCCCACCATGTGAGAACACAGAAGAGAGGGCCAGGAAGTTGATACCTTTTTTTTTTTCAAATTGAATCTTTACTGCCTATTCTTTTTTTGTTGTTTTTTTTAATGTTTTTATGGAAAGGGGGAGGAGAGCGAGAGAGCTAGAGCAAAAGAGAGAGAGAGAGAGAAGAGAGAGAAACATCAATTGATTGCTTCCCATAGGTGCCCTGACTGGGATCGAACCCGCAATCCTTTGGTGCACAGGCCAAAGCTCCAACTAACTGACCCACCCTGGCTAGGGCTCTGCTGGCACCTTGATCTTGGACTTGCAAGTCTGCAGAACTAAATGTTTATAAGACAAAAGACAAAAAATGATAGTGATATAATTTTTACTAGTAAATACTCTAAAAAATGTAAGTAAAAAAAAAAACATTTTAGGTCAGCAAGTGTATGTGAGTACTTCCATTTTTAAAACAACTATGGTCAGACTGGATCAGGGACTCTCTAAAGTCCCTTCCAGCTCTATCACTCCGTGAATCTATTAAGTTTTTATGGAGAAGCATGAAACAAACCCCTAAAAACAAAACCTTGCATTTTAAAAAACGTGTTACAAAACTACTGGATGGAAAATATAGAAACTACAGATAACTACAATGTTTAGTAAAAAGTGTATTTTATTTAGGAAAAAACTGGTTGGAGAGTCAATAGTAAAGAAAATTCTACTTGCCTACCACAAAACCACTGCTATGGCACTCTCCTACTCAAACCCTCCCACAGTTCACAGGGCTTCTGGAACAGGTGAGTAAGCCAGGACAAGTGGAATTAGGAAACTGAGACGGACAGTTAAACGGCCAATAGTTTAGCATCCAGTAAATTGCAAAACCCTTCCTTCCCTAACCAAGAACACTTAAGAGCAAACGGTTTAAGGAAGATGATGTGAAGATGGCAGCAGAGGTAGGAGCAATACAAGGTCAGAAACCAAGGAATGTGGGAAGCCTCTAGAAGCTGGAAAAAGCTGGGAAATGGCCTCTTCCCTAGAACCACCAGGAAGAACAAGCCTTTGATTTTATCTGGGCAAGAGCCATTTGGACCAATTCGGACTTCCGC